TCGATTCTAACTTAATCTCCACCATTATGATAAGTATGTGTCGAGTATATCCACAGTGATGCCTTATAAAAAACTCCAAGTCTATGTTTTATCATTTTTTATGGATCAAACATATTCGTTATTGTCTTTGTAAACTATTATATGTTTTTGAATAAGTGCTCATCTAGTATAATATGTATGCATCATTGATGAGATAATATTGATGTACTGGATTATTTCATTACCATTTAAAGATGTCTAAAACATATATATGTAAAAAACAAACTTTTCTTTTCAAATTTTGTCTTTTTAAAGAGGAGTAAAGAAATAAGTATGCTTCTCCAACTTTTAGAAATTGAACGCTATAGAAAAACGACAAAAAATACTATGTAACATCAGTAAAACATTGCAAAGTAAATTGTACAAAACATTTTTCATGTTTTGGGATATAATCTCTTTTTAAATTTTGGTAGGTCTTTGTTATAATTTTTAGTAAAAATATATTTGATATAAAAAAGTGTTCTAAAACTTGATTATGACAAAAATAAACTTTAATGAAAAACAAAAAATATTAGTCAAAATTTATTTTGCTTTATTTATGGAATGAAATATAAATTTAGCTATTGAAGATTTCGTAAAAGTTTTTTTTGCTATATATGTCACAATAAGTGATTTGTCATGTCATATTTTTGTCTTAGGATTGATTGTGAAGTTGACATGTAATTATATTTTAAAAAATTATTTTTTTAAAAATATATAAAGGATAATAAAGAGATTCATTATCTTAATTAAAGGATATGAGTACCTTTCTGACCATGTTTACTTTTTGTTGGTGGTGCTCCTGTGCCTCCAGGCCCAGCGTTGAGATGATACACCATCATTCTCCTCCCTTAATATTTTCTTACAAAATTAATTATTTGTATCTTAATGTGTAAAAAATCTTATGTGTCAGAAATTTAAGGACTTTATTTCCTAAAAAAACTATTAATAACAAATACATTGAAATAACAAATATATAGTAATTAATATAGAGAATTTTATTTTAAAAAAATAAAAAATATTTGAAAATATTTTATTATATTTTCAATAACTACTATATTTTTTATCCGAGTCAAACACGGGATTAGAATATTCAAAAGCAAAAATTTATGAGAAATTAAAACTAACAAAGATAAAATATATTTATGTTTGATCAAAATATAACTTTATAACATTTATACACAATACATATTATTTTTATATTTTTATTTTAAATATAAATTTATAATATTTATGCACAATAAATATTAAATCCGATTAAAAATATATTAATGATTTAATCTCATTTTTAGCGTAGATCAAAATCTAGTATAATATAATAGACTAACAAAAAAAAACAAAAACTTGAGGAAACACTTTTATAAATAAGCAAGCTATAGAAAGTCGAATACG